CAATGTCTTATTTTCCTATATTTATGCTTCTCACATTAACAATTAAAAAATACATTGCTTTTGTTATTTCTTACATGTTAAATTCATATTCTAGGTTTTTTTAAAAAGCAAAATATATCACTTTAATTATTGATTCCAAAACTTTAAGGGAAATAGAATTCATTTTGAGAATTTGAGGATTTTTTTTAAAAATTGACAATATTTTCAAATATGGTTTTCCATGTATATTGTGGTTTTTTTACAATTATCCGTATACATTGTTTCATTCATGTACGTTGTGTTTTCTGTAAATTACTAGTTCTCTATGATTTTTATCACTCTCCCTTGTCAAGCCCTAATACATTTTGCCGATTCCTTCTCCTCTCCCCAAAATGCCCACTAACCTCTGCTGTCCTAGTGATTTTTCACCCTCTCCCTCTTTCTGGCTCCTCACCGCACCACTTCCCCTTTAGAATATTTGTACATATATTGCTCAGTTACCCTTTTATTTTCACAGTAGCAGTTTTATACCGTAGATGTCTTTTTGTGACTAAATTATTTCACACAGTATAATGCCCTTAGACTCCCATGGTGTGTTCATTTTTATTTAGTGATGCATAGTATTCCATTGTATGAATGTACTGCAATTTTTCTAACCATTTATTGATGATTATAGTTTCCTCATTGTGAATTATTTAATTATAAGATAACTGTGCTTTATTAAGAATGAAATGTAAATATAAAAATGTTTTTAAGAGAAGAGCTGATTATATTCTTTGACTGAAATGAAGTAACGCTGGTCTATTCTGTTTTATTATCTTCTCCCTTTTGGTTGATAGGAAGTTGGTGAGCAGTATCACAGATTTGAAAATAAATCTGTAATACTACATTGTTCAGAAATTGAAGAGAAGAAAGAGATAACAGGAAATCCTGAAAATACTTACTACTTCCTTGTTCAAGGGACAACACATAAATTCCTGATTGCAAAATGCTTCCTCTTGCTTTGATCTGAAACACATTAAAAATAGGTAAAAAAGCAATAATCTCACTATTCCAACTGAGAAGTTCATCACATAAATTAACAATATTTTTTTATCATTATACTTGCAAATATATAATTTAAAATTTTATTTTATTATTTTTTTTGTGTGTGTGTACCATCAAATCGGATCTGACTGGTACATGAGGAGATTGTCCCTCCTCCTCCAACAGAGCATCTGGTAGATCCAAACCACTTGCCTCTGGGATTTCAGTGCAGCTTCTTGCCACTAGGCCACCAGAGCTCACTTGCAAATATGTAATTTTAAAATTTGTTGTCTCGTATTTAGTATTTCTCTTGGATGTTAATAGTTCCACTTTACATGTTATTATTTCTTTTCAACGAATATTTTTTGAAAGCATCCACTATATGCAAAGGAAAACAGGATGGATGAAGTCAGATTTAAAGTATGCATATGTATTCCCTTCTGGTACCTCTATTAAAAAACAAAAAGAAATGTTGGAGTGCTGAGAACTCTGTATCTATGAGGAACTGAACTAAATGATTTTGTTTATATTGATATGTAATTTTCATAGTAACTCTGTAAAGTGGTGTTACTATTATGTCCTATATTCAGATGAGATAATATAGATATTTTTCTTTATGGATGAAATTAAGTAAATTGGCCAAGGCCACATAAGTAAGAAGTGGAATTGTTGTTGTAAGAAGTAATAAGTTGTACTAAGCAATTATTTTAAGTGATTGTTGTAATAGTTGTAGTAAGTGATTGTTTTAAGTAATAAGTTGTAATAAGTAATTGTTACAAGAAGTAATAAGTTAGAAGCTAAGATTTCAATATATTTATAATTATTTTACTTTTTTCATTCACTGCTGTCAAAGATGTTATTTATATTTAACATAAATACAGTTACTCATAGATTCTATACAGAATTTCCTGTATAAACCTTTTCTCCTACTTACGATTATTTACTTGGCTAGCTAGCAGACTTGGGCACTTTATTTGGGAAGAATGTAGTAGTCCCAAAAGTAATGTTGAAATGAATTCTTTTATGCAGCCTTTAACCTTGTGTGTTTGGAATAGTTCAGTTTGAGAGATTTCCCCCCTAAACCAATAGGAGTTACTTTTGTCCTAGCTTTCTGCTCTATATGGTTTGCTATTTTTGTCCAGGTTCTGATTGCTATTTCATGGGTAAATTGTAAACAATTTGTAGTTTTACACTTTTTTTTCCTGCAGCCTCCCTTCTGATTGGTTTGTACCTTGCAGGGATCAGTTAACAGATTAGGTAAAATAAGTTATCTATAGCTTGCTATAGAAATGAACTATCTGTGGCTTACTGAGAGGATAAATTAGCTTATGACCATGGTGAGAATGGCATGTTTCGGAATTGAAAGGAAATTGTGTATATAGACAGACAACTTCAAAGAGGTTTTCCCGACAGAAACAAAAACAGCAGCAGAAAGAAGCAAAGGAGTGAAAGAAGCAGAGATAAAGAAAAAGCTAAGGAATCTCCTAAAAAAGGCATTACCTAGGTCAATAGCCGAAACCCTGAAGATATCAGAAGCCCAACAACAGGTGCCCAGCAGAAAATCCATAGTGACACATGTAGAGCCATGCAGAGCCTGTTTTGAGGGAGCTGAGAGGACTCCTGCATAACTGAGAGGAGTTAAGAGAGCTTTGCTGTGTAGAAAAAGGTAGACTCTGTGCACATTTACTGATCCTGATAACTCTTGCTATTTATCCCAAGTTATACTCTGCGCCTTAATAAACCACCTAACTATAAATATAGTGTATGAGTTATGTGTGGCCATTGAAACACATTATGGAAACAAGAAGAACGTACAAAATTTTATGAGATGGATAAGTGCTGTAAGAATTGGTAAAGAGGGTGGTGAGACAGGAGGTATGTTGGACCTTTACCACATAGAGATCAGATTTAGGTTGATCAAGATTTTCACTGTCCTTCTGAATTGAAACAGATTCTAACATCGGTCCCCTCACTACCACCATTTTAGATTTATGCTGTCAATTTATAATACATCTATTAATGTAGTTTTCTTCGGCATACTAGTTGTGAGGTTTAGAAATATTTAGAAACTACTTCGCCAAAGAAGACATTCAGGTGACAAACAAACACATGAAGAAATGTTCAAAATCCCTAGCTCTAAGAGAGATGCGAATCAAAACAACTATGAGATATCATCTCACCCCAGTCAGAATAGCAAAATTTAGCAGACCTGCAAAAAACAAATGTTGGCAAGGTTGTGGAAAAACTGGAACCCTTATTCACTGTTGGTGGGAGTGTAAAATGGTGCAGTCCCTATGGAAGGCTGTATGGCGCTTTCTCAAAAAGTGGGAAATAGAAGTACCATTTGACTGAGCAATTCCACTATTGGGAATGTACCCCAAAGAAACTATAACTGACACCCAAGCATATATATGCACACCCATGTTTATTGTGGCTTTGTTCACAGTAGGAAAGAGTTGCAAACAACCAAAGTGACCATCAACAAATGAATGGATAGAGAAGCTGTGGTATATTCACACAATGGCATACTATGCTGCATTGAAAAGCAAGGAACTCATGAAATATTATAAAAAATGGGTGACCCTGGAGAACATCATGCTGAGTGAAATATCTCAGTCACAAAAAGACAAATACTGCATAGTCCCACTGTTGTAAAATGGGACTGACATGGGGGAGGAGAAACTGAGAAAGATTGGATAAATTATGTGTACTGCATTGAAGCAAATGAGGGAGAGAACTGTTTTAAAGGGATATATGATTAGGTATTATGGCTATGACATGAGACCAGAAAGAAGGCTGCATAGTGGAGTGGACTTGGTGGGAGCGATTGTACAACAATGAAAACATTTGTCTT